CTTATTTACTGTGCACTGAATGAAAAGAGAATAGAAATTTAGAATGTGTGTGCTCAACCTTACANTATTTTCTAAATCAGAGCAGTAACTTTCGAACTACTGCAAATTTTATAGCGACCCTCAAGGTCGCGCACATTCAAATGGTGATAGAAATTAACTAAGTACTTAGATGTTGGAGACAAAGTCAGGAATAAATGCACTGTACGCATAACCATCTATATATAAGTATGCTATTGCAAGCTGAAATGGGTTTTCAAAATGAGGGTGATGTTGCACGAGTTTGGTCAACACCTGTAGTGATGCTCAACGGATAGAGTCCACTTGGTGCATTTGTTTTCTTCCGAAAACCTGTCTGCATTTTGATATCAAGGTGTAAATCATCAAATCACTCACGCTTACTTCTCCTTGAGCAGATGAGCCTGTTCCCATCACTCAAAGCAATGATTGTTAGCGTGATTTTATCAAACAACTATTCACACGCTACACTTTCATACACATGTTTCCATGGTAGTTGGTATTATTTATAACACCCCCACGAGTTAACCCACGGAATCTTTAGAATTCTGTTATAATTTCTGAGTCCTCTATTCAAAATATTGAGAATTAACTCTGTAATGGAGGATGTGATTTCAGTCGCTTCGAAACTATAGTATTAATCTAACTGGTTTGACGTTCAATTAGGCGGATTTTTGTTTATAGTTCCCATGTCCTCAATGCATCTCACCAGGTAACCATTCAATCAGTTGTCTTCTCCATCATCGACGCCATCCCATCATCTAAACATCAATCACATTCAATAAATCCCAGTAAAGCGAGCGCAAGATACGAACGTCAATTCGTGTTGTTAAGGGACTGTACTGTGTCACGGGTTCCCTATTTCTGGACTTATTCAACCAGCGAGTTGTTGATCGAAGTATTCCTTACTATTTGCCAGCAGTCCGCGTCAGTCACTTCAGTCCCCACGAAAAACTTGGCAAGTTCCGAACAAAAGCTCGTACTTCATCTGCATTAAAACTGTTTCGAAAAAATGGTTTTGAGCAAGCTAGTTTTTCAGATATTGTACATTTGATGACCCACAACAGTTCATCTAAAACAGTGCAAGAACCACCCTAGAAGCCCTGTCATTTCCTATACACTATGTTCGCCATGTGGATGTACAAGACTACGTTTTCAGGATTACAGAGCTGTATTTATTAATGCCCAAGAGAGATAGTTCTTCAGGTTGGGGCAACTCAGTTTACAATGTGTACTTCTTAACAGACCGATCATCAACACCTTACTTCCTGTGTTCGAACAATCCCCATTCACTCAACAGTATTCTTCAACGGATTATACTGTTCGCGTTTCTAATTTCAATGTATTTATCAGACATTGCGATCGATGGAATGCCTCATTTGAGTGAATCATAATTTCCTGCTCAGAAAAGAATTTATTCCGAAATTACCCACCTGTCATCAGTGAATGACTTCTCCATGAATTCTATTACCAGTAGAGTCCTCGTTTTTCCAAACAAGATAATAAACTTTCTAACACCCTTTTGTTAGGCAATCTAATGTCACTTGAGAGCGAAATCTGGCATAGCCAGCTCATGTAGTCTTCTGTAATAAGCAGCATTATGTAAGAAATATGGCAAGCACATTCTCAGTAAGGTCTCACTTGGTCAGATTTCTTCATGTTACTCAGGGCTTGTGCCTACCATTCAAATTGATAGCTGACTTCACACATTTTGTTTGTCATAATGTTGACTATAACGCTGCTTCACCTTACCGTTACGTGAAAGTCTCCGAATATTCACGCTGGGTTGTAATGAGGAAAACCATTAACCTGAGTTGACCAACATGAGACCCCGAATCGTTCCAGAATGGCGAAGTATAGTAAACTATTTGATGTAGTTATCAGACTACCGGAGTTTACGGGTGTCTGAAGAAAGCGTTTAATTCAACAGTTGCTCAAAGAATGACGCGCTACCAAGCAATCTGCTTCAAATAGCCTATATTTTAATAACTGTAGGCGTTTGAAAAAGTCTAAGCACTAATATTTCCAAATGCCCAAAGAGAACAGTTTTTTAAAGTGAACCATAGCATAATTTCAAGAAATTCAATCCCGATCGCACAATTTACTAGCTCTTCTATCTCTCTCAATCTCTAGGAAACCACAGAGGATTCGCGCAAAATATACATAACTAAGGGTCAAAACCCCACTCAGCATTTAATAATCCTTATCAGTAGTGATGATTCGATTAGCTTGATGACGCTAAGCAGCACAGGAGGCGCGGGGGGGGGTATTAAGCGCCAGCTTGGCAATGAATAACCACATTTCAGGATCAGGCCAAAGAAACTGCAATACATTAGCCACTACGGTTCGTAAAGAGAATCATGCTGGTTAGATTCTTGCCATCGTGGTTCTCACCGGTAAGTGAGAACTGTCAATGATGTCAATGCTGAGATTCACGTAGGCGCATTTTTCTATTTGTTCTCCTGGATTTTATGCACTTCCCAGTGAGATCTAAGCAAGAAGATCATGAAGATAATCACTGGTCCCCTCTAATAAAATTGGCACAGTATCTGCATACATGCACTAATTGCCCTAATTTCATGTGGGATTCGAAATGAATCCATTCTTTGAAAGAGCGATCATTGCTTTTTCATTCAACGGTTCTCACCAAGGGTTGTTTCCTTATTTACCGCAATGTTTTCTCATACATGCATCATACGACGTCTGTCTGGATGTTGTAGGCAGATTCCAAACCACATGGGTTGGCCGAGTGTAAATGACCAAGCTCAATACAACACAAATGATAAAACCATCCATGACGGTCATCCGATGGGTAGGCAAAACCTCTTGGGACAAACTTTTAACTCCCTACCATTCGACCGCCATAATGAATTCTAGCAGAAAGCTTCAATCAAAGACAATTGAAGTTTCAAACACTTTTGAAATTAGCTTTGAATAGTATGATGCAATTAAAACAGAATTAGAAACAGGATGGATGAAGATGATCGGGTTGGGGAAATTGAATCGGGAAAACCTAAACTAATATCGGACCGATCCACTCGCTCAACTGCGAAAAAAATCTCGAGCAACCCTCATAAGGTTTTCCGTTATTTTCGACACATTTCCAGTCCTTCCTATACCTTACTTACTTGGTCTCATTACCGTTTCATCTCAGTGGTCCTAATAACGCAGACTTTGAAAACATTGCGTTTTTTTCACGGATTGATGATATGGCAATATCGATTTTGGGAATTTCAAGCTGTTCAAGCCGACAGGGATGAAGGTTCCCGGTTTGCGTGACTTGTCCCAATTAGGTCTGTGTTTCTTTCCCCTATCAAGTTCACTCGCTGAACTCTCATCTGCTTGTCCCCTTTCTTCACAATACGTAAATATATCGCACGGAAAAGAAAACAGGATCAGTGAAGCATAGTGGGTAGTCTGAGAACGAATAGGGCGCTATTTTCAAGAGAGGAATTAAATTTATATGTTTACTGTTTACTGCTGCCAATTTTAAACTGTGTTTGTGCTTCGTTGTTTTCGAAAATTTAGAGACAGCAGAAATTCTGAAAATGATTGGAATCGGAAAATTTAAATGTTGGTTGTGAACTAACAAACTATAGGATGCCAACACGTTGATCTACCCAAAACGAATTGAAAAAAAGTTAGCTAATCGGCTCAATTCCCAGATATATCCTTTAATTTTACACCTCGTAATAGGACTGTC